ATAGCGCATTTTTAAACGTTGACTTTTATCAAATTCTATTTATAACTTAAGAAGTTATAAATGTCATTATTGGTTTCACGATAAGATTTTAATAAGAGTGAGGTTTAAAAATACGTCAATCATAAGTTTGTTAATGTTTTAATTACGTTTCAACAAGAGTGTTCTTGGCAATAATGATTGGATCAATTGGTAGCTCCTTGATGCTGTCAGGACACTTCTATCATAATAATTGACTTTTTATATTTGAGTTTTCTACTCGAATATTTCGTTGAACTTATCAAATCTTAAATTAAACTTTTCTTTAACAAGAGATGTTAACATTTATCTTTGTCTGTATACTTTAGTATGTTGATGAACCGAAAGAACATAACCTTATCCTTAAAGTAATTCTGTCTTCTCCACTTAAAATTTTAAATAGTAATCAATACACAACTTTATTAATTTTTTTTATAAAATTATATAATAGCTTCTCCGTTTTTCCTTTCAGAAGAACTAGAGAAAAAAATTAAAATGCTTTTTTTATATGCTGATAAGTTTTACTTTACATTTGTAACTGTTCATTCACTTTCCTGCTATTTTCTTTTTCTACGTGATCAGAAATATAAAGTAGTAAAAAATTTGATTCGCAGATAGCAAAAAGCTTGTTTTCTTGTGAATACAAATCATTTTGTAACATAAACACCATTTGAAAATATTGATAGCCTTTAAAAATGTTATCTGAATTTCAAAATCGGTAACGATATTAATATCTTATTTCCTTGATAAATATGACAGATTTATTATTAAAATAATCTAATTAAATTTATAAAAATTATATTTTATACGCAAGGTTATATATATATATATATATTCCTCTTTTGTCTCTCTCTAGTTCGATTACTTAGATCTTACCTGTTCTAAATAGCGCATTTTTAAACGTTGACACTTTCAGCTGAGTGTGATACTTCAGTTCGAAATATATATGGAAATATATTCTTTAAAGAAAGCTACTTACATAAAAAATTATGGAAAGTAGAATTTTAAACAGATTTCATACATAACAAAACTAAAAGACCCACTATTTTCGACATTATAAATTCGGATAGTTTCCAAAATGTCTTCGGATATAGAAATTTCAATTCAACATTTTTTTTTCCTCGAGTCCGTAACTCTATAAGCAATTATCTCATTCAAATAGTTTTAATTGCTTTGAAAATTTTTCAAGAAAAAGTAATTATTTGAAGAATTATCATTAATATTCATAAGAGAATTCTTTGATGTTTTCTTCCGAAATTATATCATGAATTATCTTATTTAAACGGTGTAATAGCCAAAACAATGTTTGAAAGAAGAAAAATTTTCAAAGTTAGCATCGATATTTTTAAGTATTTTAATTTGTTAATTGCCAAATATTTTTAAATTAATTTAGAAAAAAAAACCAAAAATATATACTCAATTTATTGCTTCTAATTAAGTTAATAATCCTTAAATATTGACTATTTTTTTGTAAGAATTACTGCTTTAAGGTAAAATGATAACGTATAGAAAAATTTAAAATCTCTTAACTTTTCTATAAAAAAGTTTTAAATGTAATTAAACAAATAAACTGTTGTGAATATTATATTTTAAATATAATATTCAGATAACAATGTAGTTATTATATGTATAATTATTACTAAACGTCACTTCACGGTTGCTTTATTCTTTAATGATGTACTTTATGTTAGAAATTCGATAATTATTATTGTATCTAGAACAATGATGCTTAGATTAATTTAGTATTAAGTTGCATGCTGTTAGAATTAATAATGTTTATTCCTGATAAAGTTTTATTATTAAAGCTAAAAATAAATATTACTAATCAATTGAGAAATCAGATAGAATTTCAAGGAGGAACACTCAAACACATTACCTACACTTCTATTGTAGACGGAAAATATCGATCATCAGAAGATGCTTCTGCTCTTGAGGACAGAGTCCCCTTACCAGAAAAGTCAAGAAAAGGACAACGAGGACAACAACATAGTCAGTACAGAATTTCTATTAACTTCTCTCCACTTCTCCTCATTTACAGTTTGTCTGTTGAATGCATTCACAAAAGTGATTTCTCACAGTTTTGATGAGTTATTGTGTTTGTTTATTATTAATCTTATCTTAAAATTATTGATAAAGCAGTAATTTGCAAATATTATGACTTTACAGCGAAATTAATTTTCCACGTTTATTATCTAAGATGTTATATAGGTTTCCTTTAACAAAACTAATTAAAATACAGAAAATCGTCATTAAAAATACACATGTTTACGTTTATATTAAGAATATTTAATTTTAAATAATTTTCATCATCCAACAAGTGATATAAATATGATTTTGAACAGACCATTCAGATAATTAAGAATGAAATTTATTATTTCCTGGTCTTTATATTATTTTAATGTTATTTTCTCCCTTCAATAATGTTTATTATAGGATATTTTCAATTATATAAATTATAGTTTAATTACAAATATTAAATTTATAACGCGTAAACCTTAGTTTCAACTTTGTATTACTTTATGGATGGTTAACTTTTCTATATGCAACTCTGCTCATAGGAAAAGGGCTATTTACTAGGGGCAACACCAATAAAATTAAGAAAATATTTTTTTCTATATCAAAAATTAATATTAAATTATTATAAGCATATATAAAATAAAATGTTTATATCACTAATATAAAATTATTCAAGTTTATAATAATAGAAAATTACTGCTTTGCCCTTTTATATTTCTCTCATTTAACATCGTCCATTTCTACGATAAATGAAAAAAAAAGTATAAAATTTTACATATTAAATTAAATAAACAGATTAAAATGTTATTTATTAATTTCCATCAAATAATTATTTATCCACAAAAAACTCATGTCAATAACAACTTAATATATTTATATACCTATAATTTTAAGTTAAGAACTTTAAATTTAAGTAGTTTTTTTTATAGGCCTATATATTTTCTTATCAAATAATGTATTAAAAACAAATATTTAAAAACTAAAGAAACTTTTTATTAAATTTTATTTTTCTTCGGGAGTTTAAGTAAGAAAACAAAAATTCATTTCTTATTACATTTTCAGATCGCTACTACTACAACTTCCTTCGGATATTTGCAAAATTTATTTATATTTGAACTTGTGCTCATCATTCATATGGGTAGTGCATAGTTTTTTTCCCCTTCTACAACTGCCTGAAAACAGAATACAAAAAATTTTCTTATCATACATATCAAAGAGAAATATATTCAGAAAAAATGATTCCTCATAAGTGTGTTGAAATTTCATCTTGTACATGAATAGATATCAATGTTCTTTACATAAAATAATACTTGTTTTCATTTATTTTTACGTTTTATATTATTTTACTTTCATTTTTTATGTCATTGTCTCTATACTTTATTGACAGTTCAAAGATTTGTTGTAGACGTACAGAAATATGATCTGTACACTAATAATACTGGAGATATACATTATTATTTGACATTTATAACAGCGTAAACGTAGCCGTATCAAATTAATTATATTTGAGTTTATATCACATGATAATTACATTATATTATTTGCACTTATATGTTAATGTCTCTATTTATAACCATGTCATAAATGTCTGAATAAAATAAGTATATATTTATATCAAAGTATAACAATGTATAGATTATATACAGTATATATTCAGATTTATTCTACTTTGTATACACCTACAACGTATATATTTTATATTATGCCATAAATAATCGAGCTACGTAACAGATAAGTGGCATATGAATCAAAATACTGTTTTACAGAAACATGAGGAAAAAAAACCTCTCGAAAATTCATAAATTATTCTCTATTTTGACAAATATAAAACAAAATGTTTAATTATAAATATCATGTAAAAGGAAATGATAAATAAATTTTAAATGATAAATGTAGAAACAAACAAAATCATTCAAAAATCTCATTCTAAAAGTATGTTTTCTTTTTTTACACTCGTTTTACTATAAAATTTTTAATATTTTTGTATATAATTTAAAATATTTATACAATATATATTTCTGGATTAAGCCAAATATAAATTTTATGTCTGAATTCAACAGAAGTTTATATATTTAATTTATTTAAATTTATTAAAATATATTCAAATTTAACGATATTTCTAGCTGTGAATTTTATAATTTGCATGTTTTTTACAACTTTAAATATAATCATTTTATATTTTAAATTTAAAAAAATAATAATAAATATAATTACATTTTTTATGTAATTTTATTCTAAATGAAATTTTACAGTTTTTAATATATCTAAATTAATCGCAACAAGCGTCCAAATTCAAATGCATTTACTAGGTTCATAAACAAAATGAACAGGAGCCATTAATGTCAATTTTATAAAATTGTATCTCAGGTTTGTTCCTCATTGAATATCATATTTTGTTATCGAAGTTTTAAAAACATTTCCGTAGCCGATAATACTTATCTTTTTGTTATTAATTACATTGATTAATACATTAGTCCGAACACTTTCTCTTTTTTCTCCTTTAGAAAATTGTTATTTTACATCTACTAAATCTGATTGTCAATATATAATTATAGAGTTGCCTCTTCTAATCTTTACGATGAGTTTAAATGTTTTCGAAACGAACATTGGCTAATTTTTCTTTTTTTTCTACGTTTTATTCACTAGTAATACAAATTTTTAATCGTTAATTTTCTCATCTAGACTTGTTAAACGTAGCTAAAAATTGAATCGAAATTTAAAAAGAAAAATTAACTTCTAAATTAAATTGATTAGAAATTTATTTCTCTCTCTAAACATATTTCATTTCATATACAAGCTCTTAAAGTTACATATCTTAACCACTTACTTAATTATAACACTGTACCGTATATCAGGAATAATGAAGATAAACGGGATGTTAATTTGTATTTTCTTGTTTTAAAGAGCGATTCATTATCACTATCATTGTATATATTAATTAAATATGTTGTTATCTATGTAAACCTGTTCAAAATATTTCAAATTCTATTTATGTTTATCAGAAAACAATTAAAATAATTACATGTAGCAGGCTTAGGATTAACGCATCTTAAATGAAAAAAATAAAAAAATAAAGGAATTATTCCAAAATTTTATTTTTGTAAAACCTCAAAATAGGGAAAAAATATCTAAAAATCTAAACCGAAATAACGTAAAGTTTTATCTTCTTTTTTTTATAGTATACAAGTTCCAATTAGGTGATAACAATAGAAATTTTCTCGAATTTAAATCCAAGGAATTTCAACTCGTTAGTGCTTCCTTAACTTGAATTCTTATTTTTTTTATTATCTTACATTAAATACAATAAATTATTGTATAATTACTAGAGTAATTAAACATTAAACACGCTGATATAAAAATAAAAAAGGGGAATTGTATTAACGTCATCTTTTATTAAATATGTATGATAGAATGAATTTCTTTCATTATTGTGTTGATATAATTATATAAACTATATCAGGAAAAACCTTTCTGTCCCAGATTTCCTACGTTCCACAATCTAAGTTAACCAAAAATCGATAGTAAGCCAGGTATTTATGCCATTTATCATTCTATGAATTTTGCTGAAATGATGTTTTCTGCTCTTCTAATAAACGAAGAAACATAAAACAGATACTTAAAATATTATTTTATCATCTTTATAAATATAATATATTAATTTAAAATTTATATTTTAATTACGTTATAATTTACTTGCAGGTAAAAGTACAAGTCCATGTCCTGTCGCATCGAGTTATTTGAAATTTGTGGTTTTACTAATGTTGCAAGCTTCAGATTACCTTATCACCTAACAAACCCTATAGAATCGTAGGGTTATTAGAGACTAATGGTGAGAACTGTCCCAGCTATTGTGAAATGCATACAATCTAACGCAAAAAAAGGGATCAACCTACTATAGGACTCGACGTTATTGACGTATGTGTTCCTATGCGAGGCCATCATTCGTGATAGAAGAATTCTGTTGTATCCAGAAAACATTCACAATGACGTTAAGAATGTTGTTTATATACCATTCTAGCGGATGTCTTCGGAATGTTAAGTTGGGATTTACTTTTATGTCGACAGACTTTGGAGTTCAAAATGTTACCAACTTTACGAAAATAAGATGGGCTTTTATGTAAATCTGAAAACCGACTCTGAATCAAACAAGAAAACATTTCATTCCCCCAAAGAAAAATAACTATTATAATGAAAATAAATTGGTTTATGTACTGAGCTCTGACTAACCAAAACAATTTATATATATATATATACATACATACATAGATATATGTATATATATGTGAGTATAAACAAATGATATAAGTGAAAAGAAAAATTTACATTTCATTTTATTTAATTCTCCTTCTTTTTTTCCAGTTTAATATAACAAATTTACTGTTATTACAAAGTTATTTATGAAATCAAGAAAGATATATCTCAGCTTAAAATCCGGAGAAAATTGCTCCATGGTGCTTTCTTTTAGTGAAAAAAGCGTTCACATTCATTTTTACGTTTCGATCTCATCCATAAACTTTATGAACATCGCTAAATCATGTCGAAGACACATTTATAGTAAAAAAAATATTAAAAAAATAGTGAAAAAGTCGCCCTTCTAGGATATGTTTAAGTGCTAATCATGTGTTTTATAGAAATGCAGTATGCCTTATAGTTCATGGTGTTTAATAAACAAAGTAGAAGGACATATCTTGTCTAAAACGTTTATTAAATTCATTTATATACTCACTCGCTCTTAGTTCTTATTATTTTTTTAATTCAGGAATTTAAAAATTCCTTTAGTAATATAATTAATATGAAAATTTTCAGTAAATATGCATAAGAATTCATTTTTTTAAATAATCAATTTTTCGTATATAAAAATAGAAGAGAGAGAGAGAGAAAGAAAAAGATGATCCTTTTTTTATTGTCATTTTTTGTTTCACGCTTCTTAAAATAAGGAAATAAATAAGATCTTATTTATTTGTTCATAAAATAAGATGCTGATTTTTTCCCTGTTATAATAAATCTAGCTTTCATTTAATATAATAAGGTACAAAAATTTCTAACAATATCGATTTCATCTTCAATTCCATCAACAATTTTATTATACAATAAAACTCACATTACTTTCTTCTACGAGAAAAAAAATTAATAAATTAAATTCCATTAAAACGTAATTAAATAAATAGATGGAATAATGATTTTAAATCCTTTTTCTTCCTACTTTTCTTTTCCAAAATTCAAGTTATTTTTTTTTTCAGTGAAAAATTTATAATCCTAAGTTCTTCATTACTACATTAATCATAATAATCTGATCCAGAAATTTAAGTATATTTTTTCTCTCTGCTTTTAATCTTTTAATATACGATAGACCAATTGATATAGCCGCAGAATTTAGCTGATTCATCAAAATTCTACGGCATTTTAAGAAGAGATAGAAAGTCGAATTTGACACATATATATAATCAGATTGATATATTAACTTTATAAAATTTTATAAAATCCTAAAATATTTTTATCATTTAAAAAAAATTTAAAAAAAAAAGCATGTTTCATTCCTACTACCTCGCAAGAGATCAAGAAGAAAAGTCTATTTACTGTATGTAAGTCTATTACTTGATGTTTACCATCATTATGCAAAATTACTTATATATATGTCGAATGGTATAAATAATTTAATTTAAAAATCTTTGCTTATCTAAGAGAAAAACAGAAATTAATTATTGATCATTAAAAACAATAACATTTTATAGGTTTTTAATTGGTAAAAACTGTCACAATTCGATTACTCCTCTTTCAGATAATGTAAAAAATAAATATTCTGTCACTTAGATTCTAAAAATAACTTCTGATAATTCAAATTCTTTGATTATTTTTTTACTATATTATTTTAATTTTAAGATATTTTTTTAAATTTATTGCGGTTTTATCAATTAGAAAAATATTTTATAGTATAATCAGTCTACTTCAAGTGGTTGTATATAAACTTTTATAAAATAATAGTGATATAATTTCCTAAGTAAATTAATTTTAATACTTCTTAAAATAGAATAATATGAGTAAAATTTCTCGTTTGTTACATCAGTCAGACTTTAAGGTAATTTGTTTTCACCTGCTTATCTTGGGATAATATTTATTTTTTTATCTTATTATAATATCTTAATCTCAGAAATATATATAAAATTCTGTATTTATATTTACAAATATGTTTAATATTAAAAATTCAATAATTCAAACTATTATCAGATTAATTACATACTTGTACTGTGCCTTTAAAAATGTATTGATTTATCTGTTATTCAAAGCTAATTAGTAAAAAAAATATATATATATAACAAATTTTTATTTTACGTTAAAAATATATTTAAGAAAACTTTTCTAATTACTTTTTCAACTTTTAGTTAGTTAAACTTGTAAATAGTAGCATCCTTAATCTTCCTTATCCATTTGTATTAAGCTTCTGAGGAAATATAATTTTATTTTATAAATTAACGAACCGAATTTCTATTTCTTAAACATCCCAATTTTTTAGAAATTTCAGTAATTTAAATTTTATTTAAGCTTTTTAATTTAGAATTTCGTTTTTTTTCCTTCTCTAGTTTATTCGTTTATATTCTTATTCTCTAATTCCTTATTTTTATTCCTGTAATTTTCCTAAATTTTAAATTTCCTGTGTTTAAAATCATATAAATTAAGAAAATTCGTGAACATGGCTAGTCTTTTTTTAATCCGTTACATGTTATTTTACTTAATTTTAAAAGTATTTGAGTGTTTTTTATATAAATTTTACACTTTTAACTTTAATATTTTAAAATATAAACAGATTTTTAACATACAAATCTTATTTATTAATTGAACTGCAATTTTCAAATTGTAGACCTATACATTCCCACTGTTTGCCTGTCCTTTCTTAATTCTAGATGAAAGTTGAGACCAGATATGGAAAGCTTAAGTCAGGAGGCCCGATTAACTATACGTAGTTATTAACTATATCGAAAGTCATGTTATTTCAATTCAAAAATTTTTCTCAGAACAGAGTTACATAGATGAGGCATGACTCTATTGTTAATAGGAAAAGTGTGATATACAGGGACAAGACACTACTAAAATCCAGAGCATATATTTTAAATAAATTAAAAATATGATTTAAAATTGCAGCCCAGTATTGGTTTATCCTTAAAAGCACACTATTAAAGTAATTTTACTTCGAAAGATTTCTGTAATTTCCCTAAATTTTTAATATTAATTTTAAAAAGTACGGAAATTCATAAATAATATTACTTTTAGTAAATAAATATGGAATTTATCCTTTTATATTTTTTTATACTACACGCAACTTTTTATATATTTTGCATGACATTTATTAACCTTTCCATAAATCTATAACTCTATTATACATACCATATGTTATATATTAGACTCTGTATTAATTCTACTGGGCAACAATGGCTATAAACTATACAATAAATCATAAGCTAAATTATTATATATATAAACTATAAATTATGCAACTAAAAAATTACAAATTAATTATTCAATTTCTGTTATATATAACAAAAATATTATTTAAAAATTATTATTATTTTTTATTTAATTTTCTAAATTATTCTTTTCTCTAGATTTTAATTTAAAAAAATTAATATTGTAAGTAATATCTGACACATGCTCTTACTTATCCAATTAGCTAGGTGTTAAATAACATTTTTAAAAATAATTAAAGCTTAAAATAATTAAAATTTTAACTTAAAAATATTTTAAAGCATTTATTAAATTTATTTCAAATGACTTTTTATAATTATAATGTTAATTATTTTAATTATATTCGTTTAAAAAATAAAAAATTTATCTTTGTTCTTCTTACATTATCCAAAAGTGAAAGAATTTACTGAGTCGTTTATCTAATCAAATCATTTTTCATTCTGTTTAAATTTCCTTTATCAATATTTGTTTATCCAAAAGTATCAAAATCAGTAATTTTACACATTGTCAACATATACTTAAATTATTCTTTCTTTTATTACAAAACTCCCTTTTCTGTAAACAAATCATTGTCATTATTATATTAAAATCAAGTTAAAGAGAACATTATAATATATTTATAATATTTTCCTACAAATAACTAAATTTTTCTTTAAATTGTTATATTTATCCGAGAAATCTCTGTTGTTATGTTTAAACAAGTAGCGATACAAGTACACGAAGAAGCTATTTTAAACCTTAAAAAAACAAAATTTTATAGTAAAATTGATATAATTTTACTCAATATTATTTGTATAAATCTCGAAACTCCTCCTCTAAACAATTAAAGTACAATGGATCCATGTGTATCTGAACATTGTTTGTTTTCACATAAACTACTATTACCAAACAAAACGTATCTTTCAGTTGTTACTTTTTGTTGATTGGTTGAAGATAAATAATTTATAAACCCATTTTGTCATCATTCTCCAATAAATTCTTTATATTTACTTTACTAGGATGTTTGCTCCTTGGAAAAACGTTGCTTCTCCCTTCTCTCCACTTGTATAGAATTTACACAGGGGAAAAAATATACGAATTTTTGTTCCATAATTTTTATAGATGTTATCCCAAACATTTATGAATGTAGGACATATAAATGCATTGCCATCTAGTGGATAAATGGGAAATGAATTTTAGACCCGACGAAAAGCCTTTAAAAGATATGTCACAAAACACGAATCTGACTGCCAAGAGAAATTGGTCTATTTTCTATTCAATGTATACCATAACTACTAGATACATAGCAGAAAAAAGCGCCTTTTTTTTCTTTCTTCCCACTTGTATAGAAAAAAATATGGGAACACAAATTTTTGGCTTGACTACACCAGAAAAGTGGTTTTAGGACACTCGGACTAACTTTCCATCAGAAATACATCAAGATTCGTAGAAATAAGATAAAAAATTCATACTGAGAGGGGAGAAAAATTTATTTTTTTTTTCTAGAATTGATTTTTTTTTACTTTCCATTTTTTCCTTATTCCTATCTGTTTACTCCTATAAAGTAAAAGACGTTATTCTATTCAAATAGGGACATTTGGGAGGTTGGAAAAAAACGGTGTCAGAAGTAATTTTTCTCTTTTAATCTCTGTCACCTTTCAAAAAAGTTCAAAAACTATTAACACGTATAATTTATGCTAATTAGTTTTAAAATGTCAAAAAAGTAGAAAGGAAAAAAAACACACACACACACAGCAATAAAATTCCCTAAAGTATTACCATAATTCTAGAATTATGAATTTTTTATAACAAATTTAAGATAAGATTTTATGAGATCAATTCTTAATATCCTTAACACTTCGTACTTTTAAATTTATCATCACTGTTTAATAATCGAAAATTATAATAATAAATGTTCTAAAGTTGTGATTAAACGCGTATTACCTTTAAAAAATTTATCAGGGAAAAAAAAGTTCTCTAGACTTGTAATCTGCTTGTGAATTTTTATTAAATTATTTATTTATTTATTTTCTTTAATATTACATTATATTTAAAATTTTTTTTCACTTTTTTTTCCAGTTTAATATAATATTTATTAAATTATTAAAATGTACTTTATATAATATTNAAAATTTAATATACATATTTGCTATAAATAATTTTATTGAAATGCAATTTTTAAATTGAAGGCCTATACATTTTCACTGTCGTTCATCTGTTTGTCTGTCTGTCTTTTGTTAATCTCGAGAAAATACTTAAAAATATGAAAATCGAGACCAGATATGGAAAGATTAGTGGTCAGAAATACGTAATAATTTCCTGTTTCGACCGGAAGTTACGTGATTTTTTTAAAATTAAAATATAATTAAAAATTACAACTCGGCATTGTGATGATGTCACAATAATTTGCCAGTTTAAGAATTTTGATTGAGACAAATTATATTATTAATTATCATAAATTATCAAAATAAACAATCAAAACTTGACATTCTCACCATATAAAGCTAGCAATATATTTTATTATGTTATATAAAATTAACTAAATATTTCCTAAAATAAAAATGGAGTGAGTATTCAAAAGACGTTTAATTTCTCTTTAACTCATATATGATAAATTGAGAGAATCATTGGTAAAGTCAAACTGCGGTAAAATATATTTATTTAAAGTTATAATCGCGTTTTATAAACGATTTATGCGTATTTTTGAATGTATTATATATTATAGAAATATTTTAAAATTTTATTTAACTTGAAAAATATATGGTTTATTTTTCTTTTCTTTTTTTCCTCTTCCTATTAAATAAATAGGATTTGCAGACTAATAAGGTAATAATGTGAAGATCATCGTTTATCTCTCTTCTTTCTTATTTTGGTAAATGTATTCCGGAACCAATTCCCTGTCATCAGCTGCTTTCCATCGTAGAAAATTTCTGGACGTTTTCCCATTCTCGCCATTCTGAAATCTGTCCAAATTCAACCACTTCCAGAAAAATTGATTGCTTTTCCAATATAAATTATCGTTACAATTTCCCTAAGTCCACCATTTTCTTTTTTACTTTATTCGTAAAACCGAGCATTTGACTTTTGGTTTCCTGTTTTCCACGTTGATAACCTTAAAAAAATAAACATTACCAAAATAATATTAAAACTTCATAAAAACGTTATTTAATTAATGAGCTTTTTATAATATTTATACGATAATAAATCTATATGGTATTTTTATAATTAAAAATATATTAAAATTATATTTGATAGAATGGGTATTTTAATATATTTTGAATAGAATATATATAGAATAGTATGAAAAAACTAGTTATATTTTTTTATTATGTAGGAGTATAGGAGTAAATATATACTAAAAGGCAATAATTTTTAAATGTCGGTTATCTATTTACTACATTATAAGGTTATCATGGAGAAAATTAAAGTAGCAAGCTTTCTGGATAAAAAATATCATATATTATCAATAGTATCTTGAGAGTTTGTTCAACGTTCTTGAATATGAAAATACTAAAATAGATCTATAACAAAGAATTTTATAATTTTGTTTACATTGAAAAAGCCATTTCAATATCTTAGATTCTATGTATTTTTAGATAAGAACTTCATCAATAAAAACCAATACTGTATTTCTGCAAAAGAAATTAAAATATCTTTTTTAAAATGGAATTTTAAAATTCATTCATGGAATTAAAATTCAAAAATGCCATGTTTAAAAGGAATTAATTTTTTTAGAAATAAATAGTGATAAAACAGGATAAATCAATATATCAGTTTATATATAAATTATAAAATAAATATTTTAACTTTTATATTTGGTTTTTATAAATATAAATTTTGAGTTTTATAAATAAGAACTTTAACAACTTTTTAGTTTGTAAATCCCCTTTATATTTAACTTTCATTCATTTATCGTATGCTATACGTAATCAATGTATTCCTCCTCCTAAAGCCAACTCACTGTGATCGAACTTCTTTTTATTTTTAGAGAACTCGAATGAGACTTACAAAAGTCTCATTGTATCGAAGAAAGTTCAATAGATTCTGCAAATATCATACAGTTTCTTTCCTTTTTGAAATGAAAGTTACTTCTATGTTTATCGCGGTTACTTTTCCAGTATTCAATTCGAAATTCTAACCAAATCCAAATAACAATCTAAAGTTTTTGAATTCGAAGAAAAATATATATATAAACCGTGTTAATATTTACATAAATACGAACAGAATAGTTCTAAGAAAATAAACTTTTACTTTCTTTAAATTGTAGAGAAATGACTTTACGGTTTTTTTTAAATTTTCTCCTCTTCAATAAGATCTTTACTTTGGAATTGTGTTTATTATTAAACTGTATTGCTAAATAATTGAAATAATAAATTTATCTACGTTTTGATATTATTTTTACATTAAGAAATATCTTATTTCGTTCAACTTTTAAAAAATAATATACATTTTTTTTGTTATCGATACTTTTCTTCATTCTAGAAAACTTATCTCTATCTTATTTTGTAAAGAACTTGGAAATCTTATTAACTTCGATGCAAGCAAACCTCAATTCCATTTTTCTTGAATTTGGTGAAGGTTTGCTTCATTTTTTTTCCTTTCGTTCTACCCTTTCAAATAATCTTTTTTCCATTTTTGATATTATCTTATTTTAAATAATTTAGAAAAACATATCTGAACTTTGTAAAACATTTTACTTATTTTACTTGATTATAAATTCTAAATTCTATTATATTTTGAACGATTTTTCGTTTAAAAAAATTACGAGCTTTAATTAGTTTGTTTTTTTATCTAGAATTCTAGATTTAACGTTAAAAGATATGAATGAACTGAAATTGAAAAGATTTTTGTCATTGTTATTATGAATGAAGTGAAAATGAAAGTAATATTGAAATTGACATTATCGATAGTAGAAATTACGTGAAATTGAAACTTTATAGAAATTGATAAATTATATAAATGAAGCAATTCAATTGTAGAAAAATAAATTATCTAGAATTTTAAAAAATAGTTAACTTAACAAAGTTTAATTAACAAAAACAGATTCAATACAAATATCAAACTGTTTCTTATATTTAATTTTAAAATTTTCACAAATTCTATAAAAAAATTAATTCAAAAGAAAATTTAACAAGGAAAAAAAATGATGATAATAATTCTAAAAACCGAGTAAAAAGGGAAGCAATAAAGTAATTTTATTGGTCGTTTGCATCAGGAAGAAGATTGAGACTTTATTTTAGAAGACAATTCTAAAAATGAAATCCATTGAAAGAAATTATAAAAGATCCAGCTGGGTTTAGAAGTAAAAAAAATCAATCTCTTTCTCTCTATTCTGTTATACTTTAGTGCAATGTTAGATTTTCAGAATGTTCTTAGCATGTTCAGAACAGATAACAAGGGTAATTTGATTTAAAAAACAAATGACTCTTTCAATAATACTGAGGATGATGATGATGAGTCAGAATGGTGGATTCGTTTTCGAAACCCAT